CACAACTCAAAAACATGTTTTGAAAGCTATGATATATATGATATGATAGGAAGGAAAATAGGAAAAAGTTGTTTTACATAGTTTAATAAATGTGAAAAATATTTACCTCATGCATTATTTTATGTTTTATGCATAGGGGTATTACCCCCTTTATGATGAGTACGGACGCGTACATTATGAAAATGAAAATGATTATTATGTATAACATGATGCTATGAGAGTCGCTACTTCTTCCAGGGGTCCGACAATAGCACCAGAGAATATTAGCCCACAAAAAATGGGTCTAGGAGGTGTGCGAACTAATTGGTGGGTCCAAATTCGCATTTATGGGTCGTGTGTAGAATAGTAAATACACATCCAATGCCCGCTTAGGATAGTCACCTAAGAAAATACGATTTTAAAATGATAGGTCACATTCATGTTGCATCTCTTTGCATTTCTTAACCCTAAAAGTGGATTCACTTACTAAGCATTTCTTAAAATACTCCAATCACGTTCTACTTCTATATTTTGCGTAAAAGCAAGACATCCCTACATGGTTGCTACGTTATGTGAAAATAATAGTGACTTTAGGTCAGTAGAAATCTAAGTCGTTACACTTAATATATGTTAGGCATCTATTTAATTCATACCTTTAAAAAGTTTTAATTACTCATTATGATTCTAACAAACAAACAAACAAAATTAGGCACGTTCTCTGTCTCTCTTACTTATGTCCATAAATTTTGAGTAAATTCGATTATTAATTATGAACTTTGGACAAGCCTTGACCTTGTGGTCGAAAAAATAGAGCGGTAGGGTTTATTAAAGAAATTTGAGACATTTCATATATATACACTAGATTGTTTATACATTTGGGAAGTGTTCAATTTAAATTATATGTTAATAATTACTAAATAAATATACTAATTTATGCTTGTAGAACTAAAATAATAAAAGGCCAATTTGAATTTAGTTTAATGATAAATGTATTCGTTACCATTTAATTACAATTCTGAACTCGAATTCGGTATTTGGTGGCTATGCATTCCCTTGCAACATGGTTACATTACTTATTAGTTCTACAGTCTTTTTAGCATGCTTTGTTATCACTCACATGTGCTTCCTAGAAAAATTTATAAGAGGTCACCCAATATAAAATTGCTCAAAGCAAAACATGCTTAACTATGAAGTTTTTATAATTGAGTCACTGGAAAAGAAGGCATACCTACAGTGTTCTGATACCAATTATAACAACTCATGCCTAGGATTCAAAATCTGAATTCTGCACTTGATGGCCCACACATCCTCTTGCGACTTAGTTAAGTTAGTGGTGTAACGACCCTAGATTTCATATACCTAAAGTCGCAGATATTATCTTATTCTAAGCTCATATGCGGGATGTAACTCTTAAAACATCATCATTTATGTAATAATTTCAAAAGATTAAAATATACTTCATCATTGAAAACACCGTCATGATCTTACATGTTTAACATATAATGTTGAAATGCAATTAAAAACGAATATGAAATAATTTAAAAAGATGAAATGCAAGACAACTATTCTAACCTAGGTCTAGAAATTTAATTATGTTCTATCCGATGCATGTTCCATGGTCTCTGATGTGCGATGTAACGAATCAGTATTAAGAAAAAATATGAGGTCGTCGGAGGATGCGAAAATTTTGGCGACAGATCTTACACGACCACGACCTCGTGGATCATCCCTAGACACGTCCCTCCCTCCTCTAGCTTTCAGCCAACGCCTTGAACACCTGCACAGAGGAAGAAAATAGCAGAAAAATCGAGAGAGAGAGAGAGTTCGTAGTTTTTCTGGCGTGCGAAACAACTCGAAAATGTGAGCCCTGACCCTTAACTGAGCAAATCACACCGAAAAAGTCCTCACCAGCCTCAGTACGCCCACCCCAAAGTAAATTGACGCCACTTAGGCGTCGTCGCCACTGTTGTCGTCACGTAGCCGTCGTCTCCCCCGATGTCCAACAACCACGAAACTTTGTGGGAGAGAGGAGAATAAGCAAATAGAGAGAAAAAGGAAGAAAAGACGAAAAGCAATTTCAGAAACCATCAAACAGAGGAGAGAGAAAACAGCGTCGGAGAATCGCAGAGAGTCGGGTAAGGAAGAAGGATCCTTTGGAACTAGGTCAGACTTGATCCATAAACCGCGACCCAAGTCCAGCGGCCCAACCCAACTGCTTGCAAACCTGTGACCCATCGCTGGTCCAACCTACAAAAACCCAAGGGTTGTGTCACGTGCCTAGGATAAATGCATATTTAGATTCTTAGTTTAAGGTTAGAATAGGTTGTCTTGCACTTCATCATTTTAAATTATTTTATTTTGTATTTGTTTTATTTTTAATTTCATTATTTGGTTTGAAGGACTAAGATCATCGGTATTTTTTAGAGTTAAAGATGTTTTAAATGTTTTCAACATTTATAGTAAAGATGATGTTCCCTTTTAAGGGTTAGATTTCGCATTTCAGCAGAGTATGAGACATTAGTAGCGACTCTAAATAAGTAAAAATTTAGGGTCGTTGCATGCGATGTCACCGTCAACCGTACAAAGGCATCTTACCTGAAAAATGATGTAGCACACGGCTAGAGTATTTCAAAGAATACTTAGTAAGTGAATCCACTGTAGGGGTTATGCAAAGATGCAAATACATGCAATTATACTCTAGAAACCTATCATTATCTCATCTAGGGGTGGCCTCCATTTCGAACTAATTTGGATGTGTAGTACTTTTCTACATACGATCCACACGTGCGAGTGTGAATCCCTAGGCGGTTCGCATCCCCCCTGGACCCATCATTGTCGAGCTAGCTGACCGTAGCGATATCTAGAGGTTAGTGAACCCCTGAGTGTCATGCTCAACATGATCACCGTCATCATCATAACGTGTGCGTCCACACTCATCATCATAAAAGGAAAAGTATCCCGATGCTTATGTACATATAGAAATGCATGAGGTCCCTCTAACTTCTCATCTTTAAAACGTCTTCATGACACAACCCTAGTTTAATCTTTATATTACTATTAGTAATACATGAGCGTTAACTATTCATCTTAACATTGTTGTTAATATTTCGTATGGTTGTGTCCTAGGCCGATTTCTCAACATGATGCAATAAGGAATTCATAACATACATCTTAACTTAATGTGGAAAACATCGCCATATTAAGGTAACAAAATCATACATCATCATAATGCCATCAAATACATCATAATTATGATAATACATCATCGGGCATCATCATGCATCATCATATAACTCATACACATCATCATACATCATAGTTCCTAGTTATAAAGTATAAAGAACCAAGCTAGTGCCACTAGGCATGTGTCGTCATACAGCAAACAAGTATCTAGCCTATCCTATAGTAAGACCACTTACTTCAATTTTTTCTTCTCTCTCGATTTTTCTCTGAATTCTTCCTCTTGTAGGACTTCTATGGTGTGGCTGAAGATGGGTGGGAGCGTGGCGATCCGTGGGCAGCGGGAGGGCGAGTGTTGGGGTGTTGGAACGAGAACTCTGGCGCTTGTCTTCACTGAATTTTTAGATTTTTTTTTATATATATTAACGAAACGTTACAACTGGTCATCCAAAATAGAATTGTTCCAAGCAAAGCATTCTTAACTATGAAGTTTCTATAATTTAGTTATCGAAAATGAAGGTGTACTATGATGGTATAAGTAGTAATTTTCAATTCTTTTAAGCATTTTTTAGTCATTCTATCCTCATGATCTCTCTCATTCGGATGTGGTCTCCGTTCATTCATGTACCCCCTCCTTTACTTGGATGTCACATGTTCAATATTATTTATCACGACATCTAACATTCATCTCGAATATCTACCTTAATACATTGATATTCGCATCAATTTATCAAATAACTAACTAATATTAAAAAAGCAGCAAAAATTAAATTAGTTACTTTTAAAAAAGTATGATATTTAAAAAAAATTAAGAAGTTGATTTGATATTTTAAATGTTTAGGCCAAAATAGCAATGAATGAATTAATTAAAATTTAAAATTAAAATGATTGAATGGTTACAATTTACCTCCCTAAAGAAATTTTATTATTCCAAAAGTCAACTTATTAATTTTTTATAAGTACAGACCTATTAATGCAATTTATGATAACTTTTTGCGTGGTAGAAATTAAGCTATTGAATTTATTCTAAATTTGGACTCACTCTAAAATCATTTTTGTTAAACTATTGAATATTATTTTAATAATTATTAAATCCTATTAAATAAATTATTAAAAAGTTAAAAAGGAAAACTCACGATTATAAAATTATATTTCATTTTGTTAAAAGTATATAAATTAGTTTCTTTCTAAAAACAATAATATAAAAAGAAAAAAAAAATCTTGGGTTATTAGAATTAAGAAAACTAAAAATTATGAGGTTTTATTTACTATTTTATTTAAATCCTATTAAGCTTAAAGTTTAATATTTGTATATTTTAATTTTTAGACTTTTAAAATAACTATTTTTAGTTTTTAAACTTTTAAATTTATTGTAGTTTGGTGCATGTTGGATGATGAGAGTCTATATCTGCTAATTTAGGGAATAATCATGGGTTTATAACAAAGGAATACTCTCTCCATTGGTATGAGGCTTTTTGGGGAAGTCTTAAGCAAAGTCTATGAGCACTTATACTCAAAGTGGACAATACCATACTATTGTGGAGAGTCGTGTTCGTCTAACATGGTATCAGAGTCATGCCCTAAACTTAGCCGTAAATTTTCAAATATCGAACAAAGGAGTCTAAAAGAAAAGGAGTAAAGCATCCTCGAAGGCAGTAAAAAATGACTAAGACGAGAGTCGTAGACTTCTACCAAAGTTTCAATTATATCCGTGAAGTTTGAAATGATTAATGAGAGAGTTAATGTATACCAATAGGGTTTAAAGTAAGATAGGGAAGTTGAGGGAGATGCATATAAATAGGAGAACACATGTAGTAGTTTGAAATGTGAGTGAAGGAAGCTTGATTATGTGATGGCTTCCTACAAGACCTTAGTTGTGTTGTTTGGTGTTTTTGTGAGTTTATGTTGTTTGAATATTGAGGCGAGTGAAGCAGCCCGCCGTCTCCAACAAACACCTTCCTCGTCCGACCAACATGTCAATTCACAATTGCTTACTCTCCCGTTACCAATACCACCTATCCGTCTCCCTCCTCTTATACCAATACCGCCTATCCGTCTCCCTCCTCTTATACCAATACCGCCTATCCGTCTCCCTCCTCTTATACCAATACCGCCTATCCGTCTCCCTCCTCTTATACCAATACCGCCTATCCGTCTCCCTCCTCTACCTATTCTTCCACCTTTAATACTACCACCAATATTTCCTCTTAGACCACCACCTCCTCCTCCTCCAACTACAATTCCACCCCCGCCACCTCCTCCACCGCCTCCTCCTCCACCAACTACAATTCCACCTCCTCCACCTCGTCCCAACATTCCACCAACTTCACCGCCTCTTCCGAGCATTCCTCCTATGGCTTTACCACCTCGTCCCAACATTCCACCAATTGCTTTGCCTCCTCAACCAACTATTCCACCAATTGCTTTGCCCCCACGCCCCATGATTCCACCAATGGCTTCGCCCCCTCGTCCCATCATTTCGCCAACTTTACCACCTCGCCCTAACATTACACCAATGGCTTTGCCCCCTCGTCCAATCGTTCCACCGATAGTATCACCTCCTCGTCCAAGCATTCCACCAATGGCTTCGCCCCCTCGTCCCATCATTTCGCCAACTTTACCACCTCGCCCTAACATTACACCAATGGCTTTGCCCCCTCGTCCAATTGTTCCACCGATAGTATCACCTCCTCGTCCAAGCATTCCACCAATGGCTTCGCCCCCTCGTCCCATCATTTCGCCAACTTTACCACCTCGCCCTAACATTACACCAATGGCTTTGCCCCCTCGTCCAATTGTTCCACCGATAGTATCACCTCCTCGTCCAAGCATTCCACCAATGGCTTCGCCCCCTCGTCCCATCATTTCGCCAACTTTACCACCTCGCCCTAACATTACACCAATGGCTTTGCCCCCTCGTCCAATTGTTCCACCGATAGTATCACCTCCTCGTCCAAGCATTCCACCAATGGCTTCGCCCCCTCGTCCCATCATTTCGCCAACTTTGCCACCTCGCCCTAACATTCCACCAATGGCATCACCACCTCGTCCAATCGTTCCACCGACAGCATCACCCCCTCGTCCAAGCATTCCACCAATGGCTTTGTCCCCTCGTCCAATCGTTCCACCGATAGTATCACCTCCTCGTCCAAGCATTCCACCAATGGCTTCGCCCCCTCGTCCCATCATTTCGCCAACTTTACCACCTCGCCCTAACATTACACCAATGGCTTTGCCCCCTCGTCCAATTGTTCCACCGATAGTATCACCTCCTCGTCCAAGCATTCCACCAATGGCTTCACCCCCTCGTCCCATCATTTCGCCAACTTTGCCACCTCGCCCTAACATTCCACCAATGGCATCACCACCTCGTCCAATCGTTCCACCGACAGCATCACCCCCTCGTCCAAGCATTCCACCAATGGCTTTGCCCCCTCGTCCAATCGTTCCACCGATAGTATCACCTCCTCGTCCAAGCATTCCACCAATGGCTTCACCCCCTCGTCCCATCATTTCGCCAACTTTACCACCTCGCCCTAACATTACACCAATGGCTTTGCCCCCTCGTCCAATCGTTCCACCGATAGTATCACCTCCTCGTCCAAGCATTCCACCAATGGCTTCGCCCCCTCGTCCCATCATTTCGCCAACTTTACCACCTCGCCCTAACATTACACCAATGGCTTTGCCCCCTCGTCCAATCGTTCCACCGATAGTATCACCTCCTCGTCCAAGCATTCCACCAATGGCTTCGCCCCCTCGTCCCATCATTTCGCCAACTTTACCACCTCGCCCTAACATTACACCAATGGCTTTGCCCCCTCGTCCAATCGTTCCACCGATAGTATCACCTCCTCGTCCAAGCATTCCACCAATGGCTTCGCCCCCTCGTCCCATCATTTCGCCAACTTTACCACCTCGCCCTAACATTACACCAATGGCTTTGCCCCCTCGTCCAATTGTTCCACCGATAGTATTACCTCCTCGTCCAAGCATTCCACCAATGGCTTCACCCCCTCGTCCCATCATTTCGCCAACTTTACCACCTCGCCCTAACATTACACCAATGGCTTTGCCCCCTCGTCCAATTGTTCCACCGATAGTATCACCTCCTCGTCCAAGCATTCCACCAATGGCTTCGCCCCCTCGTCCCATCATTTCGCCAACTTTGCCACCTCGCCCTAACATTCCACCCATGGCCTCACCACCTCGTCCAATTGTTCCACCGACAGCATCACCCCCTCGTCCAAGCATTCCACCAATGGCTTCGCCTCCTCGTCCCATAATTTCGCCAACTTTGCCACCTCGCCCTAACATTCCACCCATGGCCTCACCACCTCGTCCAATCGTTCCACCAATAGCATCACCTCCTCGTCCAAGCATTCCACCAATGGCTTCGCCCCCTCGTCCCATCATTTCACCAACTTTGCCACCTCGCCCTAACATTCCACCAATGGCCTCACCACCTCGTCCCATCGTTCCACCGATAGCATCACCTCCTCACCCAAGCATTCCACCAATGGCTTCGCCCCCTCGTCCCATCATTTCGCCAACTTTGCCACCTCGCCCTAACATTCCACCCATGGCCTCACCACCTCGTCCAATCGTTCCACCGACAGCATCACCCCCTCGTCCAAGCATTCCACCAATGGCTTCGCCCCCTCGTCCCATAATTTCGCCAACTTTGCCACCTCGCCCTAACATTCCACCCATGGCCTCACCACCTCGTCCAATCGTTCCACCGACAGCATCACCTCCTCGTCCAAGCAGTCCACCAATGGCTTTGCCCCCTCGTCCCATCATTTCGCCAACTTTGCCACCTCGCCCTAACATTCCACCCATGGCCTCACCACCTCGTCCAATCATTCCACCGACAGCATCACCTCCTCGTCCAAGCAGTCCACCAATGGCTTCGCCCCCTCGTCCCATCATTTCGCCAACTTTGCCACCTCGCCCTAACATTCCACCAATGGCTTCACCACCTCGTCCAATCATTCCACCGATAGCATCGCCACCTGGTCCAATCATTCCACCAATAGCTTCACCACCTCGCCGTAGCATTCCACCAATGGCTTCACACCCTTATCAATTTATTCTATCAACTGCTTAGTCTCCTCGTCCAACCATTCCATCAATAGTTTTGCCACCTCGCCCTAACAATCCACCCATTGCTTCACCATTGTCATCCTTGTATTCCAGGGACTGCTCCTCTCAAAGTTCCACTTGTTGGTTCACCTCCTCTACCATCAAAGTACTAGTGTTACTAGTGTTTCACGAGTTTGCACTGAAAAACCACCATCTTTATCTCCACATTGAAATTTTAATTGTTTGAACTTATGTTTTCAAACCTTATCATATGAACTACTACAACATCAATGTAACTTCTTTAAGTTATATATTAATAATAAACATTATGGTAATTGTTAGCATTATTTTAATGACCTTACTAAGATCAAAATGCAAGAAAATCCTTTTCTTTGTCATCTATATTAAAATAGGAATATTAACTTAATTTTAAAAATTTGTGTAAGTTTTCTCGGTACCAAAGCATTAAGATATATATCCTTTGAAATTCATTCCATTGGATGACAACAAATCTTATACATGTAGAATTAGATTACAAATCCCATTGGCTAGAATGTCTCCTTCACCCTCATGTATTTTTTTTTTCCCATTATTAATACACTTATACATGTAGAATTAGATTCCATTTTCAGTAACTATAATCTTTTGAGATCATCTTTGGCATCATCAATGGAAGTTTTTCCTTGTTTTGAACTTTCAAAGTAATCCCACCCTAAAAGTAAAAATGGAACAAACATATGAAATGGAAGGTTTTATTTTTTAGTTTAACCAATTGGAACCTCAGACCATTTAATAGAAAGTATATGCTCTATCACAATCTATCACAATTATTGAGTTAGGTTCATATTATAGCCTCTTGATTCAAATTTGTGAGAACATATTGTTGTAAATTATTTCATAGTTTTTTTTAGGTTTATATTGTGAATATATTGCTAATATAAGCATAATTTTATCTATTGAGATGTTGTTTCCTTGACAAATATCAAAAGTTTGAATTTTTATCTCTCCACCTGTTGATCCAAAAAAAAAAAAAAAAAAGTCATATGAATAGTAACTTACTAGTCTCATAAATTGTTATAAATCTAACATGTTTTGTCACGATCCAACTTTCAAGGTTTTGAATCTGGAACCATGACTAAAAAGATCGAGATAAAAGAATAAATATAAAAATAAGATAAATTTTAAATCAAATAAAGATAAACAATATTACAATTAAATACAAAACGAAATTCAATTACAAAACAATGCTGCTCAAACTTATTACAAATTAGGAGAGAGGTCACCGATATAATTATAAAACAAAATACAAATGACTTACAATATAAAAATGGACTGACGCTCTGAAATGACCCCCTCTATGACTGTACTGCTCTCGAGCGGTCCCTACCTCGATCTGCTGCCTTCAAACACTTGAAAAAAGAAAGGGAAAATGGGTGAGTATAAAAAGACTTAGGAAGCAAACTATTTGTAACCTCTCATCGCATTCTTAACCTAGTAGGTATCCACAGGATTTACTCTTAGTTTTAGGAAGTTCGAGATTAGTATCTATTGCTATATGAGTATCTAGAGGGCCTCAAAGTTTCCAGCAGTATTTTAGCTACTCACATACCCGCTTTGGGTTCAAAGAAGGTGGTTCACTCTTTTCTGACATCTCAAATTTACCGAGAGGCATGCCCCATCGCTGGGGTGAACTAATCTTCCGTTCTTTGACTTATGGTAACTAGCTTTGCCTATGCAATGAAGAACTAGTGTCTTGAGTTAAGGTGGTACCTCATGGAACTCCATCTCTGGTGAGGACAATATGTTGTGTGCTCGCTTGCTCGTCATCCATGGGAGGTTAGCTGGAAAACCCTCTTGCAAGACCATATGCTTGTAAGCTACGAAGGCTACCCGTGTGATTGGACCTCTATCAGTATGGATCTACTGCATAGGATAATCCAACTAAATATCAAGTCAAACAACCCCAACTGACCTATGCCTGACTCGACAGTCCAAGTATCAAAGTGGAAAGGGTAGTAGAGACTCTGATGACATCGTTAAACTTATGACACCATAAATAGGGCTAACACTCTAGAGAGCTACCTTTGTGATTCTTGGGTAACATGGAGGTCTACTAGGTTCTTAGCGGAGTCAAGACAGTTTTAACTTTATCTTTCATTTCTAGGATATCTAGGACTAACTCATTGACCTATTCCATACTCTAAGTGCACACAAGTCTAGACCTCTGATCGATGCTCACAAACCTTAGATGCAGGATATATTGGAAATATATTAACTTAGGTCAGCTCACAACCGCTTTAGCTCTAGCGCCCTAGTCTTAACTTTGCTCTCTTGTGCATGCTTTGATAGGAAGATTATTCTATCAATCACCTTGAGCATGATATACATAATCTAAACATTCATGCAAGCTTATTATCGAGATATCCTATCAATCACCTAAAGAGCTAAAAACATTCACATAGACAAATAAGCTAAAACATAGAGATAACATCAATCAATCGCCTGAAACATAGATCACAATAAACCATCCTTCTTTCCGGTGAGAACCCAAAACAAAATCCACGACCTTGAAACTGTCCGCTCCAACCTCTATACCGAGTAAAACAACCAGGAAAACCCTCACCGATCTTGGTTTCATGGAGAAAGAAGGAGAAGCAACCAAAGAGGAAGAGGAAGAAAAAGGACGAAAAAAGACGTCGGAAACCACCACACAGAGGAGAGAGAAAAATCCATCGAAGAAACGCAGAGAGTCGGGTAAAGAAGAAGGATCCATCATATCTGAGTCAGACCCGAACCGAAAACCCGCAACCCAAACTGCACTGGCTCAGCCCAACCTGTAGTGGCCCAAGACGTAAGGCCCAAACACCTCAGCTCATAAGCTATCGTCGGTCCAACCCGCTCTGCAACCGACATCCGAGAACCCAAACCCGCTATATAACCCGAGAGCCAAGGCCCAAAACCCTCTATATCTAGTAGCCCACCAACTCGCCTGCGACCTAGTAAGTCGCCCGATAGACGCGACCCGAACCAAACTACAACCCGTGCCTCGACCCAACGATGTTGCACGATGTGGCTCGCCTTGTCTTTGCCACGTGGCACCCTGCAGTGCAAGCAACCTTTCGACTAGGCTCAGTGGCTTTTCTAGCGGCTTATCATCTCAGTTTCCCATTTTCAGCCCGGTTTCCATCATTTCGACCCTCCCGAAACTTTTTTCGACCCCAATTAAGGTAACTAAGGTCATTTTGGGGTCATATTTCATGTTTATTAATTAATTATTAATTTAATTATGAAATACTAACGAAAGGTGACGAACGGTGTGATAGGAAACGAACCCCGATAACCTTTGGAGCAGCTCTCGAAGAACGAGAGCATATGTTTAGCTAAAGTAGGGAGCACTTCGGCCAAGGCCAAGTAAGTAAGTGGCCCTACTATAGGATATGCTAGAAATTGTATGTGCTAGCGTTTATGTTTACGATGTATGAGTATGATGTTTGAGCCGTGATGCATGATAATGTACGTGATTTATATATTTCGATGTATGACGTACATGACATATTTCATTACGATAAGTATCATGATTGCATGATGTTTGTCTTAATATTTTGATGTTTTTCATATTAAGCATATTATATGATGATGAGTGTCATATTGCATCATGTCGATAGACCAACATAGGACACAACCCTAAGAGCATAAAAATGATATTAATATAAATATCCAACGAGCATGTGTTAGAAGAGAGATGAGATTAGAAGGTTGTGTAAGAAGAGATGTTAAGATGAGAATGAGAGGGACCTCATGCATGTTGTACGTACATAAATATAGGGCTACTTCCCCTAGAGATGATGAGTGCAGATGCGCACAGTATGACGAGCAAGGTGATCATGGGGAACATGATACCAGGAGTTCTACTAACCTCCAAACGTTGCTACATATAGCTTGCTTGACCAGAGAGGGTCTAAGGGATATGCGAGTCGCCTGGGGATCCGCACTCGCACGTGTGGGTCGTGTGTAGGAAAGTATTACACATCCATAGTATTCCGGACTAGAGGCCACTCCTAAATGAGATAGAGATAGGTTCCAAGAGCATGATTGCATGTGATTGCATTTAGCATGACCCCTATAGTGGGGTCACTTACTGAGTATTCTTCGAAATACTCATGATGTGTGCCATATTATTTTTAAGGTACAGGTAAGGCTCCATGTACAGATGGCGGCGACATCGCAAGTAGAGACGATGACACATGCATCGGATAGATGCATATTTAAATTTATAATCTTATGTTAGAATCAGTGGTCTTGTATTTCATCATTTTAAATTATTTTATTTTGTATTTGTTTGAATTTTGAATTCCAGTATTTAGTTTGAAACACGTGGTAGTGTTTTCTAGGAGATGAAGTTTTTTTAAGCATGTTCGAAGTTTATGTGATAAATGATGTTCATTTTAATTGTTAGATAAGTATGAAACGTTAGTAGCGTAGAAATTTAGAGTTGTTACAAAAAACAATTAAAACATTATTCATCACAAATCTCATCGTATAGGCATTTTGGTAATTTCTTAAATCTTACATAGTTTACTTGCCCATAATTCACAACTCATTTTCTAGTCATGCATTTTCTCTTTCTCAGCTTATATAAAAACAATATACATTTCTGAATTTTATTCCAGGGGCATAATAGTATTTTTCTAAATCAAACATACAATGCATTATTATCAAGGATCGTTCTTCTATAGGCCTAAACGTGCATATTCTAACCACCTAAGGTAAGGAATGCTCATTTGCTAGCACACCTTATTGATCCCTACAAGTATTATTTGCCTAAAGTCCGTATGGCTACTTACATAGTTGACGTTTCCCTTCCCAAACAAGTTTTTCCTCGTATTGGAGGCTCTAAAATTTATGAAATTTCTCTAGCAAGTTCTAATTCAAGTCATAATATAGTTAACATTGAAATTGGAGCAAAAATAGTTAAAAGGGAGTCAAACGAGCCGAAAAAGGGCTTACCACAAGCTATCACACACTTTCCAGTGCCAGAAATAAGTGACAAGTGCGAGTATAGACATACGTGCCATCCTCTGATTCTTTCAATTGACTTCTAAGGATTGTGTTTGATCCCTTATGGGCGTGAAATTTACCTAATTATTCTCGTAACGACACATGGTGTGCTCAGGCGAGATGTAGATCATAGATCAAGTAAGGCAGACGGATCGAGTTGCAAGTGCTGAACAAGGTCGTGTGTGGGTCAAAGGGTTGGATATGGATTCAAGTCGCATTAAACCAGAAGACGCATATCATCATTAGACGTGGGATGCATCGCTTCATCCTCTTTTCA